CAATCAACCCTTGGTCTAATGTTCCCAGGATTAGTGAAGTTTGAGGCATAATTTAGATCTAAAAGCCTTTGGGCCTCTGGTAGTGAACAAGGAAGCATTGTAAATTTGAGTGAAGAATATCAATAAATGAAAACTAATCAACTTGCTGACAATATTTTGTGGTTGTTAAAATGTTACTGACTAAAGCAACAGTTTTTTAATGAGTATAACGCAAAGCTATCAGAAAGAAATATAATCTTCTTCCTATATAGATATCTGATCATTTAAAAATTATCTTTTCTATTCAAAGTTTCAAATTTTCACAGTCATAAGAAAAAAATAATGAGTCCAATTCCAGAACTTATTTTTCTTAACAAATTTTTCATGAACATTTCACATGTGATTTCATCACCTTTATTCCTTACTTTATGGTCAAATGATTACTTTAGTGAATAATACAGTTACTAGTGGATTTTTCAATGCTGAGGATATAACATATTTATGAACTTCACTATTTCTGTGACTATCACAATCTTAAAATGGCCTTGTCATGACCCTTTGTGGTTTCAAACATGGGGAACAGGGGTTGCCAGTGGGTTAACACAGTGTCTCTTGGATCATTGTAGATAAGCCCACAGGAAGTGCAGCAGCTGAGGTTGCTCTGGCCACTTTTTGAGCCTGAGTACCTGACTCCCCTTAGTTCTCACAGTGGGAGTGTTGTTGACTGAGTGGAAAAGGGAATAACCCTTTACTATACAAGTGCATTTGAATTACCTTTTCTCACTTATATGAAGAATGAAGAATAATTTTATCTTGAGAAACCCACCAAATTACCTTTCTAATTATTGTAATAACTCCATCCAAATTTAAGGGGGGAGTCTATATATCTTTCATAAAATTAGTTTTATATCAAGGAAAGTGAATCAAGTTTCATATTGAAACTGGAAATGTTGGAAGACAAATCAGAATAGCTATCTATGTACATCACGATACTGCTCCTGTTAGCTGTTAAACAGACACTTCACTCACCAATCCAAATTAGCTAATCCTCCAACAATTCCAGAGTAACCCAGACAGTATTAATCTTGAAGCTGATGGGATTAACAGTTCTGCCAAAATCATTCCTTTTCTATTATTTACTGTGAATTATCAGTGACTAGATCTTTTGCTTAGGACTAAACTCTCAGACATACTTTCCATCACACAGAGGTTTACCCATCCTATTATTAAAAAATATTCTGGACTATCTAAGTAAATAAAAATCCACAAAAAGGAGAATGAATTTTTTTAAAACTAATTAAAATTTTTATCTCTTTTATATTTTCAATTTTAGATATTTCCTTCAAAACTATGCCTAAGATAAGTTTTGTGTGTGTGTGTGTTTAATGATTCCTGAAGTCAGAGAAAGAAGTTTGTGTAACTAACTTGATTCATTTATGTAATTTCAGGGTAGAGATATTGGGATTGAACCCAGTGTTTCTCTATCACTAAGCTCCATCCCCAGACCTTTTCCTTTTTATTTTTATTTATTTTTTAAATTTTGCGGCAAGGTCTTTATACCTTGTCCAATCTGACGTCAAACTTGAGGTCCTCTTGCCTCAGCCTCGCTAACTGCTGGGATTGTAGGTGTGTGCCTTCACACCCAGCTTTGTTCATGTTATTTCTGCCAATTTATCATCTGTCTAGATTGATATTATATCTTTACATCATAGCATGAATAGGTTAATATTTTGGTTAAGAAATCTATCCTTTTAAAAATTAGATTGAGCTAAGCTTCTGTGGAACTAGACATTAATAGATTTTTTTGTGTGTAAGCTTTGGAATTTTCTATAAAATTAATGTTAATGTGTGCCTAATTATCATCAGTCTATGCAGAGGCTCCTGAAAATTCTGATCTTTATTCTAATATTGAATTTTAAGGTCAATTGTATGACAGTATCTAAATAAAACTTTAGATGTTAGTTAGAATAATATATTTTACCAAAGAAAATATGATTTTGAAATAAAAAAGTCTTATTGTCTTGAAAGTTACATATACATGATATTTTGTTTGATCTTCAATAAATCAACATTCATAAATTATAAGATCACCTGTAAATTCCTGTTAGTATCTACCAAGAATATTTTAAGACTTTTGTTTCTGTATTTTGATAAAAACTTAAAATATTGCAGTGAAACATTTCAGTTATTCAACCAAGAAGGATATTTGTTTGACTGGATATTCATTGGTAAACCAAAGTGAAAATTATTCAGCTTTACAACCTAGTTCTGTAGATCTGCTATGTAAAATATAAATAAATTAATCAAAGGTACATGGCTTTGCCATTCCCAATGTTAGCATCAGTTTAACTTGGATTTGATAGAGATAAATTGTAAAACCAAATTCTTTAAGCTAATAAAATATCTGACAAAAAATGATAGAACTCTCTGACCTAGGTAATTTCTATTGATATTCTCTTTTAAACCACTTTCTGTTATCTTATTTTTACCGGAGGTAAAAGTAATGAATACATATTTTTGTCCAGTAGCATGAATTTCTATACAAATATGTAATTGAAATCCTTACAGCTAATAAAACAAATTAAATACTTTATTAATTAGTGCACAGATTAAATCATTGGGAAAATGTTTTTAAACTTAAATTCTAATATAGTATATTAAACTCTGGTATACCAGAATCTTACAAGTAAGTGGTCTAAATCTAAAACACTCATTTCATATCAATAAGCAGCTTCCATTTCAGTATATGAGGCTATACTACCACTTTTTTCTAATGAAAAGGAAGGCACAAATGGTAAGGGGGAGCCCAATTCCAGTCCTATAATCGACAAAACCTAGAAATGTCACAATTCACTTTTGCTCCCATTCCAGTGAAGATTATTTCTACTACAACACACGGCTGCAGCTTATTCTAAGGGAATCTCAAATTAGCAGTATTTGTAATTGGGTGGAGCAACTGACTGCGCCCCACAATTGTCTACAGAAATTACTGAGATGCACCCTGATCTCTCTTATTTTCATATATCCCATTAAAGGTAAAACATGACACATCAGCAGTGAGTGTTCAGCTTTTGAAATCTTTTAAAACATCTATACCTAATTGTATTCCAATGTTAACCTCTGTACTTGTCTTTACTTAACACTGTACTATGTGATTTGATGTTGAAAGAATTATTCCATAACAGATGGACTATATTGATGCAGTTGGAACACATATACTAAAATAAATATTGTGTTGTTTTATAACTTTTAGCTATTGAAATGTAGATATTTACTACAAGCATTTCTACATTGGTACTTTTTGTAAGTGTTAATTATAATCACTTCTCAGAAATTCTTCTCTGTCTTTTGCATATCCGTGGCATTCTTTAAATGCCTGTTTTGAGTACATTTCTTGAATTAAAACTCTCTTTTGAGTGTTGTAGTTCAGCATTATCCAATAGAACTTCCTGTGATGATGGAAACGTTCTAGAACTGAACCATCCAGTATCGTACCTACTAGCTATGTGAAGGTTTTGAGCACCTATTATGTGACTGATGTGGGAGAAGAACTAAATTTTAAACTTTATTACTTTTAAATGAATTTGAAGTTTAAATAGCCATTTGTTGGCTAGTAATTACCATATTGGATCTACAGTTCTAGTTACTCCCTGCTCCATCTACAAATTTATTTCAGCCACATCTCTTTACCACATCATATTACTCCTGAAACATCCTCAAATGAACTTAAGAACTCAATTTGTATAGCCCTGATGTTTTATTCTTTGGGTGAATAATTTTATATTTTCAGTCTGTCTACTAGCTTTAACAGCCTAGTAATAATAACTATATAATATTTATTTTTTGGATGCATTATGTATTAGGCACTGTTCTGAGCACTTAATAAATCATTTCTTTGTCCCGAGAAATTTACATTGTAATAAAAATAACTTAGATTATGCTTAGAGTATAATTACTACCATTCTATAGATATATACTCAGGCACAAACACAGGTTAATTATTATTATTTTTTTTAAGATCTAAATAGCTAGTAAGTGACTGAACAAGGATGTAAAGCCCAGGCAAACTGACTTCAAATTCCAAATTCTCACTTCATTCTTTACTGTTTCATCAGGAGAGTGAGTTTTTATCAGTGGTTCTCTTTATTCAAAATACATCACAGACAGGGCCCCTGTGAGAGCATTTTTTTTCTTTACGCATAATACAGGAAAATACATTGCCTCTGGCAAGAGGGAAGAAAAAAGTACAGATGGTTTCTCTTCCTTTTTTGTTCTATCAATTTTCTGAGAGAAATTTTGTTTGTGAAAAGATGATCCAAAATGTTCCCTAATTTATCTTAACTCATTGAGCATTAGGGTTTTATTTTATCAGAATGAGATTAAAAAATTAGTAAGTATAAGTGACAAAAAACAGGTGCTGCACGTTTGCCTCTATTACTATAAAAGACTATTCAGTTTCTTTTCTCAGTAAACTCTAAGAATTTTAAAGTAATCAAGATTGATTATTTTCAAAGAGCTATAACATTCAGTTTTAACTCAGGTTAATCATCTGTAAGTTAAAATTACTTAGAAGCATAGTGTCCATAATTAAGTAATCTTACCTTCTAATATTGCAGAATAAGGATACCTCTAGGTGACATGAAATCTGTCATTTTAAGCATGCCCCCCAGCCTTTTCCAGATTGCTCATAAAATTTCTCATTCTCTAGAGAAATGTGATCTCTAAGAAATAAATGTCTCTGTCAAGTCACAAGTAATATGAGCACATGATGAAAAAAATGAAATTTTTGAGTCTCATAAGGGATATTGCAGTATTGTAAAATTGATTTTATTCCTTGTTATTTAAGTTCTCATGGTCATTTTAGGATTTACCTCTGGATATAAAGGGAAGGTTATAATACCTGCTAGGGAGGTGGGGAACAGAGGCCTTTGGGGAGAAGGAGAATATTTTTTTCATATGAAATTCTTTGTCATAAAATGCTAATGTTGGTGTTCTTGTCTTTATGTCTATGCATTCTTTAGCTATGAGGATAACAGACCCTTCATCAAGTAAGAATGACCTGAATGGCTGATAAATTCCATTTATCAGTGTGGTCCCATGAACCAGCTGTCAGATCAGTACTGAAAAATCACTAGAGCTTCTGTCATTCACATTGAGGCAGAAGAGCAAACTGTGCAGGAAAATACTCTGGCATACAACTTATGTGCAGAATAAGTACCCTGTAGGTGTATTGCCAAAAAAATAAATAAATAATTGCTCCACCTCTGTTAATTGGATATCACTTGAATTCAGTACCACAGTAATAGCATTTCCTGTGGGACAGACTTGTTTCACTTTGAATAGCTTTCTCTTACATTATGATATGTTCCTCTGTGCTGCATATGTCTGCATTTCCGTTGTCTGTTTGGGCATCGTTCACATGAAATTACTTTTTTATAGTATATCTTCAAAATGATCTTATGGGTATGAAATTACCCATTGACTATTGCTTTTAATGATTTGCTATATTAAATTTTCAAAAAGGAAAAAAAAATGTCTCCCACAAAAGTTAAATTTTACATATCCAAAATTATCCCTTTCAAATTTGACACCTGTCACTTGATTATTAATCTCATTGTTTATGAATATATTTAAGTTTCTGAAACACAGCTACAAGTCTGTAGTGGTCTATTAAATATAGGTATATATGTTAATTTGGGGACATTTTTCATATATGTTTTAAAATGACATGTCCTGCAAGAATAAACTACGATTTGGCAATCTATGGGCAACCTTGCTATAGACTTTCAGTTTGTTCTTCTGGTGAAGAGTCCTTTGTTTTCATTTTTCCCAATGCCATTTCACTTAATTCTTCATGCTTTTGCTTATTTTTTGCTTTTGAAGTTGGAGATCATTGCAGTTTTATATCATATAACCCTTGGCCCCATCACACTTTTTCTAGTGGATAATAGCTGACTTGAGTATTTTTTCCTATCATCTTATTTCTAAATCTGAATAGCAACTTTGCCTTGATTTAATGGCAGTTCTTTCCATTTTTCCTTTTTCCCATGTCTGTAGAAAGCTGACAGCTTTTCCTTCAATGTTCCCGTATTTGTGAAGTCAGTTGTAGAGTAAAATATTAACATCTAAGATGTTTCCTATTTAATGTAAGAAAATAGACCACATGTAATAAAAAACTTCCTATAGGGATTCTTAATTAAAAAGTGTTAATGTCTAACATTAAATATGTTCAGTTTAAAGGGCTCTTAAATCTGAAATAGAGTGACTGATTGATGTGGGAGAAAAATAGTAAATACTTACTATCCTTTTTTAATATGACTTTGGGACCATGTAACTCTCACTAAAAATAAAACTTGGAACTCAAAATTATGGTAAAAGATATGCAGATTTTCCACTTCTCTTTGCAAAGTTCCCATCCTCATAAATATTTCTTCCTTAGACAATGTCAATGGAGGATTATAATCTGCTGAAAAGAAACTTTAGTTTGCTCTGTTTAAGGAAGGCATGCTGGGAAAGAAAATGATGGGTTTATGAGTGCATAGCAATCTTGATTCCTTTGGTCCTGTTCTCCCATATGCTTAGAAGTTGAGAAGGATTCCATTTCCAGTTACTGGAGTCCCATCTATTAGAATAATTCATTTTATGTTAATAATAAATATATAGCCTACCACAAGTACATGAACTTATTCACCCACTTATTACTATTATAAATGGCAGCTTGGAAGAAACTAAGAGAATGGAATGAGAGTGAGAATTTGTCTTCCATGATCTACGACTCTTTTCATGCCACTCCATCCCCATTCTCAGCTTCATCCTCTCCCTTGAGTTTAAAGACACTTCCAAAAATGAAGATTCCCTGAGCCTTTAAGCTTCTTTTCAACAAAACTGCAAAATATCTTACTGAAAAAAATTTAGTCCAATATAACCTAGAAGATAGTAATCCAAAGACTCAATGAAAGTAAAGCTAGGATGATTCCAGTAGAGTGGAACTGTTTTATTCCCATCCACTATATTGCACACTTATTCTGCAAAGGTATAGAATTAAAAAAAGAAAGAAAAGGTCTTTTTCAGTTCATATGTGTACTCTGAAAACTGGCTCCTTCTAATATGAGTTATGTTTTTGTCAGTCAACATAAAGTTTTTATGGAAAAAGAGGAAATTTGGAAAAATAGGGTAAAATTATTTCAGATGAAGCAATAACAGAGGGAGTTCAATCAAACAAATGTTATGCCAATGAGACCAGTGGAGACTAATATAACTTTACAGAATTCTCCCCCTTGCCATTCACCATAATTACATCTCCATACCATTTGCATATGTGCTGCAAATACATGAATAATTTATGGAACAAATCTGCTTTTGCTTAAATGAATTTCTGTGTTCATAACATTTTCATTCACATATATTTCCTCAATCTTGATAACTTGTAGCCCCATTAAAATCTCAAAGTACTTATACCACCTGTCTTACATTTTCTGTCAATAAAACTTACCATAACATTTTTTTCAGTGTCAGTATTTTTGATATGATGTGGTTGTGTTAAAGATCAATTATTTGTTAATTCTAAATTTTCCTTTCTCTTTGCAGGTCATGGGTTATAGGTGCAATAGCTCTTCTCTGCCTGTTAGGATTGACCTGGGCCTTTGGACTCATGTATATTAATGAAAGCACAGTCATCATGGCGTATCTCTTCACCATTTTCAATTCTCTACAGGGAATGTTTATATTCATTTTCCATTGTGTCCTACAGAAGAAGGTAAGCTAGAATTCTTTTTTAATTTAAACAATAAATGACATACATTAAATGATAGCAAAGCAACCCTAACATAATCTAATATATTATTCTTGATATGTCTGTCTGTAGTAAGTAAACATATTGCTTCATCTTTTATATTAGTAAAAAATAAAACAAATACAACATAAAACCATGATAGAGTTGGTGAGAGTGTTCAAGTAAAAAAAAAAAATTGTTGGGCTGGGGATGTGGCTCAAGCGGTAGCGCTCTCGCCTGGCATGCGTGCGGCCCGAGTTCGATCCTCAGCACCACATACCAACAAAGATGTTGTGTCTGCCGAGAACTAAAAAATAAATATTAAAAAATTAAAAAAAAAATTGTGATTTGACCAATGCCCAAAGTTATTTTCTTATAGACTTACTTTTAGTCTTTAATCCATTGGCAATCAGATAGAATTTATACATTAGGAAGTAAATGTTTTCTAAAATGAGGGTAGGGTATCATAGGAAAAAAAGTGTACATATGTGTATAATTCCATATTTTTAAAATCTAGTTTACACTCAAAAATAAGATGTCTAGACATTTTATGTAAAATACTATATTTTTATATCTTTTGAATAAATAGTGGTATACTTAGTAATATTTCATACTTTTCTTTAAATGTGCCTTTTATAAAAATAAGGAGTCAAATGACTAAAATTCAATTTTAAATTTTTATATTGATCTAATTTGTAATTTTTCATATTGTCAGGGGCATAAAATATTCACTTTCAAATCTTATTTAAGCAACTAAATATATTTGTTGAATATTTTAAATTGCAAGGTTGATTTTTGATTCTTTATTAAAAAATTGTGATTCTATATCTGAAAATGTAAACCCCTCAGCCAGATTGCCTGGGTTTTAATTTTACTTCCTCCAATTAAAAGGATATATGATTTGGATCAAGTTAATTAACCTCCCCATATCCAGGTTTCCTTATGGGAGTCATGGAGGTGATAAAAATAATTATGTAATATTGAAAGAGTTGGCTCTGAAAATAAAGTGGCAAAATGTTAACAAAAATTACCAGAAAGAAATAACAAGGCCCATAGTTTTGCTTTGGGAAATAAAAAGTAAAATAAAGATACCTATCTCTAGAATTCTTGACTTGGGACCAAAATCCAAAATGGGACCCAAAGCAAGTTGTAAAGGGTGTACACTAATCAAGATGGAAAAAAAATAAAACAAAATGTTATTATATTTCAATGTTAGGTGAAGATTTGGATGTAAAATTAGTTGACCTGGTCACTAATACATGATAGAAAAATACTAATATATCAGGTCCCAAGTAGAGACTACAAAAAGAAAAGAATATTGTATTAGAAGGCATAAATTTTAATGTTATGAATTTGAATTCACCCTAGAAAGCAGGTTATATTACATTGGGTGACCTCCACCAAATGATGATTTACCACCACCACTACCGCTTTCCCCCTGCGCCAAATTACAGTATCTCAACTCATTGAATTTTTATTTTTTATTTATTGCCCAATTAACGGAGTACCAGCCTCAATATATGATTTTGTAGTCTTCATGGTTGTTGACATCCAGAAGGCAATCTCTGAAAGAGAGAGCATCTTACAGAGACCATCTGGTAGTGGCTCATACTACTTCTACTTCCTTTGCATCAGATAGGATTCCACCAATGGCACCCACTAAGTTGCAAGGCAGATGGGAAACACAGTTTAGCTTTTTTACCCAAAAAGAAGAGAGGTTGGGTGTGGTCAAAAGCTAGCAATCTTCTATAGTTGGTGAGTTTAAAGAGCAGGAGGCATATAGATGGTGAGTAAGAATACAGATGGAAAGAAAGAGGTTTCAGAGGAGAATAATAAGTAGCAAGATACCACAGTGATTTAAAGACAGGAGAAAAAGTAAAGAAATAGTGGTTAGCATTGTAAAAGTTATTAGGGAAGTCAGAGACTAAGTATTTGGGAAAGTTACCTAGATTCAGATTGTAGAACCCTTAACTGAAAATGGAAAGTGAAATCAGGGAATTAAGGGGAAAGTTGACTTTTGTGCATAAAAATATGGGAATGATGAAACATGGTAACTGGTCATGCCATGTAGAAGTATAGTGAATTATATTTACTGTCATCTTTATTTTATAGATTAGCAGGAAATTTGACCTAACAAATTTTAAATTTTAAAGTTAACATAGAAATTGCTATGAAACAGAAAAATCTTTTTATATGTATATCTAAATTAATTTTATTTGTATTAGTTAATACTTATTGTAGTTTTTTCTAATTATTGCTTCTCTCTTTCTTATCTAAAGTCCTCACTAGTTATTAATTAGAATTGCACTTGACATTCAGGTAGAATTTTGTATCTAAGGATCAGAAACAAACCTAGAGTTTTTAGTATATTTAAAGTATTTTACACAAGTCTAATTTTAAATATATATGTATATAATCATCAAGTTCAATTCTTTTATTCATTAGAGCAGAATTCAGGGAATTATGCTTCATGGGCCAAATTCATGCAACTTCCTTTTATATTTTTAGTTAGTAAACCAAGAACTGTCATTGCATTTTTAAATATTTTTATTTACATTTTAAAATAGGTACATTCAAAATATCATTAGTTTTATCTCTTGCCTCACAAAACCTGAAATACAGACCATCTTAGTCCATTTTCTGTTGCTATAACTGAGTACCACAGAACAAGCACTTCTTTTACCATATGATTCTAGAGTCTGGGAACTAGTTTTCAACAAATTAATTTGGTGGAGGAGTTGGGGACAGTAAACCATAGTATTGACTACCTGTTCTTTCATGAATTTGCTGGGCTCTGCTTAAGAAATTTTATTATCTATAATAACAAGTAAGAAATATATTGTTTTATCTATCCTATATTTTGAATTTTTACATTTTCTGTTATTTTTATTGGTTTCAAAAAGATGGCCCAATATCAGAAAAGAAAAAAAAAACATGAAATTATTGTTTGCTTCATACCTTACTAAAAAAAAAAAAATCAAGTACTGTTCTTTGTAGATACAGAAATAGTCTTAGGGGGTTTTCTTTCTTTCTTTCTTTCTTTTTTATTAGTTACACATGACAGTACAATGGTCTTGACATATCATACATTTGAATCAAATGGGATATAATTTCTCATCACTCTGAGTGTAAAGGTTGCAGAATCACATTGGTCATACAGTCACTTATATACATACAGCAATACTAGTGTCTATTTTATTCTGCTGCCTTTCCCTTTCCCCCTTCTTCTCGCCTCTCCTCCCATCACTTCTCTCTACCCAATTTAATGTGACACACTTCTTTTTTTTTTAAATCATCTGATTGAATTTCACTAATATGCCCTTGTTAATATAGTTGCTCATATATTTGGAGTTGGAAAAAAAAAGGAAATATTCTATTTTTGAGCTTTTTGGTATTATGGAGTTATTTGTCAGTCTTTTCCTCAGCATGCCTGGTTGTGTCACCTTGATTTCCATGTATTCCATTAAAAGTAGTCACTTTTGCTTTTGTGATGGTCTCAGATATTTGATATTCTCTCAGAGCTTCCAAGATTATTTTGTTTCTCATTTGAGTATGGAAGAAATATTCCAATCATAAAGTACATTTTCCTTTCCTGTCTTCTGTATTCTAGAACAACATCACATTGAAAGAAGATATCATTATCTGATTGGAGTAATTAAGATGCAGTATCATGTGATATAGATTAGAGTATGCAAATGATTGCACAATCAAAGAGGGTTTTTTTATTATAATCTAAAGAAAAACGTTTCATGGACACAGTCCATGTTATGTTTCTTTCTTTTTTTTTTTCAAGACATATGCTTCCCATTTCAAATCACAGCACAGCAAAATGAAGTCAGTATAATGATTCAGTTAGTAATGTAGCCAATATGGGACTTGGCATCACCAGATCTCCTGATTTGCTGATTGTTTATAAAATCAGTTGAGAACATTCAGCCTTTGTTGGAAAATGCAAGTAGACCATGATGAATTTCATGGCTTATCCATTATTACTTTTTTTAGAGGAAAAGGAATGGTTAGTTCTCCTGTCTTTCCCCCCACAGCCCCCTTTTGTTTCTTTGTAGTATCTGTTTAGGTTTAAATCACTTCGCTAAAAAACATTCATCTAGAAAGAAAAATAACATTTTCTGAATACATTAGGAAAAACAAGTTGGAATGAGAGGCAAAAAAATTTGATCGGTGGTCAGATTCTTCGAGATGCTTCATAACTTCAGTACAAAATCACCCGACTGTAGTCAATAATGCTTAAGTTTGTTGAGAGATTACACTAAGCCTTCCCAAGTTCTAATTGAGAAAGTTATCTTTATCATTCTTTTCTGATAGAGAGAAAGAGATAATTTAGTAGATTTATGATAATAATATGTAATGCCCATGTTGGTCATATACTAATGTTAGAAATGTGGCATCTTAGAACTTTCTGATCATGAGCACCTAAGATTCGGACCTTTTCACAGGTAGAATATCACTTAAGCTTTGCAATTTCATTGCTTAACCATTCCAGTGTCTTTCTCTGTAAAATGGGAGTAGTAATTATTTCCAGAGTCATTTTTGAGGAAAATATTTTGCATTATTGCATGCAAAAAAATATTAAAAATCAGAAGTTTCTTCATTCCATCCTTCCAACATACATGTCTTATAAACACACATGAATAGGTTCACACTCACTTATTTTTTTAATAAAATATGGATTAACTTGTAAATCCTAAGTAAAATTATCTGTATTTCTAATTATTGATAACTGTAACATCAAAGAAGTTTGGTTGCAAAACAGATCATTAGAATATTAAATATGTTATGAAATGTAATTTTAAAATTCCAGAGTGGAGAAAAGCTGGGACCTCATAACTCTGTTTCATTTGCAGTGTTCTCTCCATCCAGAGTACTGTTTTCTCCCCTCTCTTACCCCTTTTTTTTTTATCAACTTCACCATCTAAATAGGCTAATCCCAACCTATCTGAAGATTTTCTCATTAATCTTCTCTACTAAGAAGCCATCCTTTGCTTCTGCCCCCAGCAGCCAACAGCCAATCCACATGATGCATGCTTTGATTCACCTCTCATGTCTCCATTCTTCTTCTTCTTCTTTTTTTTTTTTTTTTTTTTTTGGCACCAAGGATTCAACTCAGGGGCACTCGAACACAGTGGCACATCCTCAGCCCTATTTTGTATTTTATTTAGAGACAGGATCTCACTGAATTGCTTAGCACCTCACTGTTGCTGAGGCTGGCTTTGAACTTGCCATTCTCCTTTCTCAGCATCCTGAGCCACTGGGATTACAGGAGTGCACAATCTGCCCGGCTCCATCATTATTCTTAAAAGTAATAACATTTGGTAAATGTGAATTCTTGAGACAAATCTGAATGATCTGTCTTTGGTTCTGCTATATCTTTGACAGAGTGAACTTTGCAAACATTCAATAAGAATCATTTGAATGGAGGTGTTAACATACCATTCACACCCTGTTTTTGCTTTGTGAAGTATGAATGTGTATAACCAACAGGATAAGATGTCCCTTTTTTGTTGTTATTGATAACAGAGGTATGATTTAGGAAAATTCCTGTTTATTTTTGTATATTTTGTCCAATTAAATAAGAACTAATACAAATTTTAAACATGACAATGAAAGTTTCCCCCAAATTATTGATTTATTCTCTGCTTGAAAATGTTAGTTAAAAATATTCATCTCTTATTTTCTTATTTTATATCACAACGTATATTAAGAATTTAATCTGCAGTACTATAAAGAAAAACAGCTGTATTTCTCAGTAATTTTCAAGTATAACTATTTTGTGGACATAAATTTAAAATATTTGCCATTTTTTATTCTGACTTTGAAAATTTGACCTGTTTTAAGATTTTAAAAAGTCAAAGAATATAGATTTAAAACAAATGCTTAGCCTGACGCATTCCCTTTTTCTGTCTTTAAATAATCTCTCTTATCTTTCTCTCTCTCTCTGATTCTCCTCATTCCTTCATCCCACTCTTTCTCAGTCGATTTCTGCCTAAAGAACACTAGCTGCAATACTTCTTCACAATAGGCTACCTTACATCAAATTTATAAGCTCAAAATAATGTCTTTGAACTAAGATATACTACCACTAAGGTATGATTGGAAATGATTGTGTATTTGCAAAGTCACCGGTTATGCCAAATTCCAAGTTCAACAGTGTGAACATAATTATTTTATGTTACAAAATATGTGCTGGACAGTTTATCCTGTATTTGTAGGAAAAGGAAATAATTGTTATCAAAAACCAAAACTCACATATGTTTTATATCCTACTTCCCATTTGCAATCAATAACTTGCTAATAGAAGTTGATATTTAATTGGCTAGGTACGAAAAGAGTATGGGAAATGCCTGCGAACACACTGCTGTAGTGGCAAAAGTACAGAGAGTTCCATTGGCTCAGGGAAAACTTCTGGTTCTAGAACTCCTGGACGCTACTCTACAGGCTCACAGGTAAATGATGTTTGTCCTCTGAAATTTAATATTCCTTATGTGTAGTCTGTTATCACCGTTCTTTTCTATCCCAAGCCTTGATCGCATGAAAATGAAATTGACAGAAACTGAAGGAAGCAAAATTGTAATAAAATTGAAATTCAAGGTCTAAGGTTATGTAATAAATAATTTCCTCAGATTTTTTTCTAGTTGAATGAGTGTCATAGGTGAAGAAAGGAATTTCCTATTTGATCCATAACTCAAAATATTCTCTATGTGTGTGTGCATATGAGTATAGATGTCATTTGTGAACTTATTATTAGTTCTCTAGCAGGTAAAATAATTCTTTATCACATACTGAAAAAATTTACATATAAAATTATATGTTTAAGCAAAAAAAAACCTATTATAATTCCTACCATATTTATGTGCTGACAAGTTGAGGAAAACCTCAGGAGTGAAGAACTTAGGACACATCATCAAAATAACTGGTCTGCTTCCATCAGCTCAGCCCTGAATATAACTACATAGAGTCCCTTATCAGGGAAATTGTAAACCCTTAGGTAAACTGTTGGCCATTTTTACCAGGCTACAATGTCATCCCAAAGATAGTTACATAGAAATTTCAGCATCTTGGATGCTAAAATGAGCCAGTTATAAAGGACAGGATTGTGTGGATATGAGCAAGTTTGAATTCAGATAATCAGACTAATCGTTTTGTGACTGCTTGTCTCAGTAGGGAAAAAACCTACTGTTTTTTCAGTGTCATCAGTTGAACTCTGAGTAAGGCTTGATTAAGTTGATAAAGTTATAAATCTCAGATTGATTTTTCTTGACTCTTACCTCAACCTATAAATCTAATTATTTTTCAAAGTGATTAGCCCTGGAACAACTCTCATAATTAAATGATAGTAAACATTGTTTCCATAAACACTTTTCTGAAATTTAATGAAGTTCTCCTTTATCTATAAATAAAGTCATGTGTCTAATGTCAATATAATACACTTCCAACTAAAGTTTTAGTAACTCATATTTAACTGTCAAACATATAAGATTATTTTAAATAACTTATCAACCACCAATAATGAAAATTATTCCTAAATATAACAAATAGGTATTAAAAATCTGTCTCTGGTTTATCACTTCTATATTTTACTGAGGTTGCACAGTTACATATTAGGGGAATCAGATATACTCTTCAGGTGGGCAGAGTTTTCTAAGCCTAAGACTTCTTAATTTGCCAATTTGCCTAAGAATGGTGGTAACTCCAAAGGATGCTTCCAGCAAAAGCTCCTTTGTATAATCAAGGCCTTTATTTCAAACTTGTCATCCCTCTCCCCACCTCTCCTTTTTGTGATAATATTTTGACAACTTTTAAATTGAAATTACTGAGATTTTGCATATTGTCCACCTGATTAGATTAACAGGCAAAAGCATTTGTTGAACTCACTTGCTGTAGTCATTTTGTAGACAAAAGTCATTACTGAAAGAATATTTTGCAGTTTCAGTTATTAAGTTACAACAGAGTTATACAATATTTAGTAATACTTCTAGTTTAGGAGATAAAGCAGTGAAGCTTAATAAAATATTGATAAACTTTACAGGTGGGTTCACCTTTGTTTGAATCCTAGCCTTCCCATGTGCCAGCTATGACAGAAGAAGTTTTAATCTCATTGACTGAAAGTTTTTCATTTGTAAAGTAATGATAACAATACTAATTTCTTCAGTTAAAATGATTCAGTTAATGTATTCAGAATGCTTAGATTGTAGGTGCTCAATATATGGTAGCTGCTACCATTCATTAGTGCAATTACAGAATATAACATCATATATAAATATATTTTATATATATATATATTTATATTCATAAACTATATACATTTTAAAATTATATCATTTACTTCTTCACCATTATAGTTTGTAACATCATAATTATATTCCTGGGGGAAAAACTCACATTATTTTCTTATACTTAGGATACTGATTCTGGTCAATATGTCACTATAGGCCTCTATAAAATGATAGTCACTTAGATTCTGTCATTGAGTGAGATAAAACTAATAAAATATGTTTCACATTAATTGTGATTTTCCATAAGCAAAGGCTAATGTATTCACTGACATTAAGGCAAAAACTTGGGGAGCATGGGTGCTTTTTTTATATCACAGAACTCCTAAAACAAAAATCTATATGTATTTCACATTTTTATTTAGAAATATTGAGAACTTCCTATATAATACCAGCTAGTCTTTTGGGGGGATAACCTCCCTATAATCACGAGATTTGATTGTAGTAGTAGGAGAATTTATCAGATTGTGAAAACTGGTATAGAAGCAACATACTGTGATGGAAAGTATTCAGGGGACTACTTGGGTTTTCAAATACTGTCTTTGGATGTAATAATTATGAAAGTGCTGAATGACAATATTCTAAATGAGAGGAAGAAAGGAAGTTCAGGTGAAAGCAGTTTCAGGTGAGAAAACAGCTATTGCAAAGCCTTTAAGACAGGGGAAACTTAAAAATTCAGGAACAGAAGGAATCCTATTAGGCAAAGTAAAGACATTCTTTAAGAGAAGAATATAGTCACATTAGAGACAATTGCAGAAGTCAGAGGAAAAGGCAGGAGATAGATCCCTATAGTATTTCTAGGTGTAAATGGATTTAGATTTTGTTTGGATTGCTTTGGAAAGTCAATGGGATGATTTAGAGAAGGAAGAAACAGGATACTATGCACAGGTAATCAAGATCATGTGATAGCTATCTAGATACTAGAATGACATGATTGGCAAAACTAAGGAGTTGAAAATTGTCTCCATATGTTGGTGCTCTATCCTTCCTTCCTTCCTGGTACTAATCACTTATAAATGATGATCATTTCCAAAAGAATGCAAATGTAAGTGCACAGAAATAAGTACAGATTTTTTTTAAACTGTGGACTGAAAGATATTTTTCTTCCCTCTTTTGTATACCTCTAATTGTTCTGTCATTTATCCTTCATTTATTTTATTGACTTTTTAGGTGTATTTACTTTTACATAATATTTTTTTAAAAAATAATGTATTTAACGTGTGAAATTGTGAAGCATATTAAGATAATGAACTGTGAACTCAATATCAAATTTAAGGAACAGAATTTTTTTTCTTTATTTAACCTCTTCATAACTGATCTGTATTATGTCCCTACAGAAGCTTCCTAAATTTTGTTCTGTAGTTTTCTTGACTTATAGTAGTAGTTTTTCCCCCTCCAAAAAATATTTTTTTAGTATTCCTTTGTTAATATTTCTGGTAAAATGATATTGTCCATATCTTTAGGGATTTCTTTCACTGAAGAAATCTTTTAAGATTTGTCATTTTTTAATGAGTTTTGGTATATTTTGTTTTGTGTGTCTGTGTGTATGTGTGTGTCATCAATAACACAGTGGAAATGTGATTAGATATTCAATGGTATTTCTAAATACTTCTGAATGCATTTCAAGATTTATAAAAACAACTGTATAATATTCTAAGATTAACTACTGTTACTGTTTATGAAGTTAAAACATGGAACATAACCCATTTCTGAGTTGATTTCAACCTTATTTGAAGCAATGTTTCTTACAAACTATTTCATTCTTGGAAAACCTTCTGAAATATTTTGTTTCTTCCTCCAAATTTTTTGACCCCTAATTCAATAATATGGCAAAACAGAAAAAAAAATTTCTTCAAAATGTAATATTACAATATTTTCAGAAATTATCTGACATGTAAATTTGAATTTGAGATAATAATGATGGAAATAATTAAATAATGATGGAAAAAATTTTAGTTATCTATAAAACTTCCTACTCTGAAGCATTGAATAGGGATGAATTGATACCTTTATCTCCTTCAAAAGAAAAGGCAGGATAGTATGTAATCTCTAAAATTGCATAGGTTTTCTTGTAGTAGTTATGGAAAATGTAAACTCAATAGAATTTTAATAATATTTTGTTCTTACCAGTGTCATTCTTGCCAGACTGAATTTTTAAACTAAACTTTTGTTAATAATCTGACAACTTAATACATATTTAAACATTCATATCCCAGTGAAAGTTATATTGAGCCCAATGTGGTAGCACATACCTATAATTCCAGTGAATTGGGAGGTTGAGGCAGGAGGAAAGTTCAAGGCCTGTTTCAATTTAGCAAGGCCCTAAATAACTTAGTGAGACCCTGTCTCAAAATAAAAAAAAATCGAAAGTGCTGGGAATGTGGCTCAGTGGGTAAGTTCTTCTGGGTTCAATCCCTGATTTAAAAAAAAAAAAAAAAAAAAGAAAAAAGTTGAGATGAAAATAATTTGTTCTACTTTGGAAACTAAAATTTTAAATTTTCTAATTCTGTGTACAGTATTCTGTATAACCTAAAATATATGAATTGGTATAGTGCTTTACGTTTATTCCTTTTTCACAGCCGGGTAGTGTCATTAATTTTATTTGTGATATTCTCATGTGACTATGCTATAAGCAGGTAGACATCATTTATTTTCTAGATGCTAGAAACAAAGGTCTCATATAACTGTGAGAGAATGATTTATGTGAAAACTCATAGCTTCATGAGTTTGTTTCTTTTCTTCCTTTTCTCCATTCAGAGCCGAATTCGTAGAATGTGGAATGATACGGTCCGAAAACAGTCAGAGTCCTCATTTATTACTGGAGATATAAACAGTTCGGCATCACTCAACAGAGGTAATTAGAAATGATTTTTTATATTTATTACTCCTCGGATTACTTTAAAAAGTTTTCAAATGCATTGCTTTATTTGCAAGTTCTAAACCTCATTCCCTTTGATAGGAATAGTGTAAACCTGGTTGATTGTAGCAGTGTGTTCCATTATTCATATGCCTGTTTTTTAAATCCTGAATTTTCAGGAAATTTTTTTCCAAATGGAAGTTAGATAACGAGAAACTGCTTTTTCCAGTCATCTGCCACTGTTATAAACTGGTGAGCTGTCAGGCCTCATTGAAAGCAGTTGAAATGGGCAATTATGTGGTATATAGTCTGCTAAGCATCATAGAATTCCACATTGTCCCAGGTATAAAGCAATTTCATAGTCTTTGTGGAAGTAAAAATATACTGTCTAATACATACTTAAGGAAACCTGTGTACTTGTGAGGAGAAAATCACATGTAATCCTAATACCTAAAAGACTTATTCAGATAATATTGAACATTTTAAGGTCTAGAAAAGCTACTTTTATGTAAATCATGATTTTTTTATGTGTGTTTATGTACTTCTGGTTAAAATGCTCTCTGGATATCAACATCATTTATATTTTTGAAATGAAGTTCTCTTGATGTACTATTTTATTTGTGGTGGGTTCTCTTTCTTTCTCTTTTTCACACTGAGTGACAGAAATATTAGAAATAATTTCACTGAAATAAGAATGGCTAGATACAACATTTGTACAATCAGTGCTGGAAACTATTAAGAATATAGTTTTTTGGTAGAATGTGGTATTTGTATGAACTTATTATTTTTAAGATCAACATTGTTATTTTTTCTTACCCCTAAACTAGAATTATTAATCTGTTTTTAACCTGTTTCTGCCTGCTTTTTGTTACACAAATAATGAAATAATTATTGCTTATGATTAAGAAAGATTTAGATGCCAGTACTCTTGATTTCTTTTACTCAAGTAATTTGCATCTTATTTATAGACAGACATTAGAACAAGTAGTGTGCAAACTGAATTTGATATAGGGATTCACACTTTAATATATCTCATTGAGTTTCATATGCTATTGAGTGCAAGGTTGTAGTAACTATAATCTAGTTGTGATTTTAAATTGTCTACATTAAGTTAAGTAAGAATAGTGAGAGGGAAAATTCCTTCAAATATGAGAAAAATATATTAAAACAGCTACCTTTTTTTCAAAACAACTATCTTCTTCTTTTCTTTGTTGGAATTTACTGGATGATATACATTTAGACAATCTCTCTAAAGTTTTTTTATATAGATAATCTTCTCTTTTTGATTTAGTTTTATTCTATAGTTTGTGAAATTTATCAAAATGTGAGTACTCTATTTTTTTTTACTTTACTTTTCAAATCACAGTTAGTTTTCCTAGAAAGAAAATTATCCTTATCAATAGGATTTGTCATAAGGTATATTTTGAATCTGTTAATCACAGCATCCATGGAATAGTTGCTATTGTTTAAAGAAGGGATGAGATGACTGTAACAATATACTGTTTCTTTACTTATTGTGAGGATGGATATAATATGTAAAATTATTATTTTGTCCAGTATTATTACTAAAATGTATATAAAGTTAGTTAAAACCTTTTTTAAGTGGACCATTTTTATGAACTTCAAACTCAAACACATTTTGTAATGTTATTGATTAACTCCTTACTTCAATTTCTTCTTAATAATGTCATCTACTGGGAATATAACAATATGTGTATGACTGAGTCAATTTGAAATGAATTGAAAGAAAATAATAACACTTCTTATTGACTGATAATATGTCTAGTTCTGTAAACTAAGGTCAGTAATTTTAAAAGATAGTTCTTAAAGCTACTGAATGCAGGATGTAAAATTTCTGTGACTTTGAAGAAGTTATGTTAACGAAGACTTTGGGGAGGAGGTTAAATTGAATGCATGATTTGAAGTGTGTCCAAGCAGTGATCTTTTTCATCATGATATGTACTCTTCCTTTCACTTAGTGACTTTATTGGTGCCAGAGATCACAGTGATCTTCCTTCCCTGAATTAATTTCCTAGCCCCCCTCCAGGTCAGAAACTCCTGGTTATATTCTCATCTCAATTTTTATCTTAGTTGATTAAAGTACTTTAAAATTTTATTTCTTCATATTATGTCTCTGAAGATAGCCTTTAACCTCCTTCTTTAATCTTGTCTTATTCCCCAGGGTCCTATCTTCCCTGCATTCAGGCGTGTGTATCATATTTAGGTACGTGGCATCCAAGATTCATCTTTCCAGATAAACACTTCAGTCACCTCAGCAACATAATTATTCACTTGTGTTTATTCAAAAGATTATATTCTCTATTATTTAAAAAAGATCTTAGATACCTCATCTTTGCATCCTCATATATTCTAACTTCCCATTCATTCTTAGTTACAGTTAGCAATTTTTTAAAAAAATAAAACTCCATTTTTGTTCTTTCTAAGTTAGAAATATAAAATCTCTTATTTTTTTTCTTTAAAATAGTGCTGACTCTTGAAAATTACAGCTATTGCCTAACATTGTTTTCCTTATTTTTAATTTAGGTTTTCTTGCTTATTTATACCATTGGCCAATACGTTAAAAGAGTATTATTTTAAATTTTGTATGTCTTCTCATCTGTTCTTCCAAGTAAGAATCAGCAGCTACCATCTTTAGGATCAATTAAGAGCAAAGAATCTACCATTCAATGTAGAACAACTTCTGTTTTTTTTATTTTTAAACTATCCTTTATACTCTGTTCTTGAAATGCATCATTCCATCATATATATCAGATTACCTTTCTAGATTCCCAATATAATAAAAATGATTACTATTGGGGTTTTATTTATTAGAATCACATGAAACCTTGGAGGATTTATTGATAATTTTCAATGAGTGTACTAATTCTTTTATATTCTTTTGAGAATTCATTGTTTGGTCACACTCATCTTTTTAAAACCTTCTACTCAATCTGTACTGAATATCTGTTTTTATGAGGATGTTTCCCCAACTGTTTCCTAAACCTTTTAAAATATTTTGTCTCTGCAATTGTTTGGTATGATGTTATACACTCAGGCAAATGCAGAATTCCTTGAAGCCAGTGCTATAACAATTAAACATCACTCACGTTACTTATGCAGTAGAAAGGACTTTAGAAGAGCTATAAGGTCATGGTTGAATACAGAGTCTCAGGGTTAATTTTAAGCTATACCAAGTTTTTACAAGCTTGTAGGTGTAAAGGAGGTTTTATTCATTCATTTATTTAAGTATTTATTATGTTATACATGCCTTGAAGATTTAGTCAGTATTTAACCCCCAACTCCTCCAGGGCTATTAAAAATCTAATTAAAATCTCTACTAGCTCCAACATCCTGGTAGTGGTGAGAAGGACTTATAGTACTCTTTCTACCCGCCTCTCCTGATCATAATCTCTGCTACACAAACCTCATCTTAAACAGTTTAGATTCACAATGCCTCTTCTAAAAAGTTGAGTTTGATCCAAAAATTAAGCTTTGCTGAGAAATTTCTCTAGCAGTACAACAAACATCTTCATTTCTGCCTCCCTTAGATCTATATAAAAATCAGAATATCTTCTGAAATTAGATGTTATTGGACATCACAAATATTATAATGGCATTTACCATTTTCTTTTTATTTAATTATTGAGATTGAGAGCAGAAATTTTTTCCAATCAAGTTTAAGAAACTCCTGCCAATGGGGTATCTTTATGTGAGTTATCAAAAGTTACTTTAACGTTCATCCCAGTTATGAGTTACTGCAAAGTTGTGTTCCTTCTAAGTGATATAATTAGTGAAAAAGTCACTTCTTCTGGAATAAAGGTTTGCCTAGAATCATGGGGTTTTATTTTCCTCTAAACTTCCAACCTCTATTTTGTCAACCTGCCACATGAATTAATGTGATATAAATTTTTAGGAATGGAGAGTTGGACCAGTAAGACGATATTTATTTAAGCCATATTTAAGTGTTATGGTTCAGAAGACTGATCTATAGATATGTAGCACTTATTTATAAATGTAGATGATTTTCTTTTAAGTGTTCAGATTTGTATTAATCTGCACAACATTTTCACTGAATTTGTAGTCAGTAAAATTATGATGACCTCTGATGATGCATATATTTTCATAGATTTTTTTAAAGGGTAAATTTTGGCTCTCATTTAGTTTGTATCAGAACTACCAATTGAAAGGTGACCTTATTGGCTTGGGGCATTGTTTTAACAAAGCGGAAATCTCTGCCATCAAATATACATTTGCAAGTAGCTGACTTACTCATTATAGTTTCACCTAGTAGTTTTATAAACAAACATTGAGTTCTAATCCAGTGACAGTTTCCAAATTGCTTAACTTCTCAGGGCTTATGCAATAGCGATATAAATGGTTCCCACTTCAGAAGGTCCTTGAGAGGAATATATAAGTTAATATATGTAAATTGTTTACAATGGTATCAAGAACACAATAAGCACTATTATTATTACTACTTTATTCAGAGATTACAATGGCATCAAGAACATAATAAGCACTATTATTATTACTACTTTATTCAGAGATATCATATTATTATATTTTCTAATAAATGAAAACTTTTCCTTGCCAGGGCTCTCAAATAATCAGATATTAAAATTCATCATTCACTACTAAAAGTTTCCTTTCCTTTTTATTTTCTAGCAATAGGTAGGAGGAATGAGGAGGTTACCTTAGTGCCAAGTAAAACAAATAATAATTCACCTAAGATGGTGCTACCCTTGAGGCTAACAAAGAAGAAAGCTAATAAAACTGAATTGTCTCTTTTCAATTAGAAATTAAATGCAAATTACATCTGCCTATTTGTACTTTCCTCTTTTGATTTGCAACCCTACTCTAGTGTCAAAGAAATAAAGATAAAATATTTCTTTTTTTATTCCTTAGATGATGACTTAACAAACCCCGTCTTCTCTTTTATTTCAAACACTATCCTACCCTTCTAAAACTTAGATAACACCAGTTCAATTCAGACAGTCCTGCTAAATAACAAGTTATGTAGCAGAACTGGGATATGACTAGACCTGTTTTTAACTCATGCCTTCTCTGAGCCTGTATTGTCTTTTCTTGGTCAATGAAGCAGAAGATATTTCACAATAAATCACCTGCTACTCATTAATATTCAAGCTTCTAAACCTAATTTGCTTTTATATTTTTAAAGAGAAATGAAAATGAAAAACTGTAAGTGGTGTTTGAGAACTTAACAGTTTATATAAATTAAAGCTACTAGGGCAAAACACTGATAATCATTCACTATACTTTATTTATGTCAATAAATATAATTGGCTTAAAAGCATAAACATACTATACTGCCCCAGAACCTTGCTGTTTTAAAGGATTATAAAATCACTAGTTGTAAATATTAACCAGCTATCAAATAATCTGACATCTATTTGTGAAATTTGAAAAACTAGTCAATAATGTATCAATAGTACTTGCAGAGTCTAACAAATCAAAGGATCTCATATGACAAACTACTTTTTCTTATCAACAAACATTATAATGTTAACACAATATAGGTAACCTATAGCATAAATAAATTTTTCTTTTGAGACTCACCATTATATCTATGTCTGAAATTTTTTGTTCTTTGCATTTCTGGATATGTACAGGAATGCTATGTTAATTTCTTTGAACAAACATGTCATCAATAAAAATATAGTCAGAAAAGGTTCAATATGATAAACAATTTGTGTTAGGAAAACCAGGTTAATAACCAAATGCAACATAGGTACCGATTTTAAAAGTGAGATGCTGAATTAAATAGATAATTAAATAATACTATTAAATTCTGATTCCTAACCCAATGAGACCAAATAATGTTCAGAATGAACTCTCCATTTAAGTGGCAAAATAATCATATCAGATATTGATTGCTAGTGAATCAGAAACAAAGGTCCTTGCTATTAATTGTTGTCAGTCACTTACAAAGTAAAAAACCTTTAAACACTTAACTTACCAGGTTCTTCTTATGCTTTGCTTTCTACTTTGTCTCTTTGAAATGACTCCTTCAAATAATCTTGTTTCTACATAGTAATTAGGCTGGTTTGTATTTGTTATAGTTGTTATAGTATTTATTAAAGCTTTCTTAGATCCCTTCACAAAGAGAGTTCTTTATCTATGTAGAATCCTCATTTTAAAATATTCATTTGCTTGTTGTCTTATATGTATATTTTTAGCTCTATTTTATGTATATTTTTAAAATGTTTTTCTTTAGGGTTAGATGGACACAATGACTTTATTTATTTAGTTATTTTTATGTGGTGCTGAGGATTGAACCCAGTGCCTCACACACATGCTAGGTGAGCACTCTACCATTGAGCTACAATCCCTGCCCTCTTAGCTCTATTTTAAATCAAACAAGCTTTGATAAATTCTAAATATATGTGCTGTAAAACATTTCCAATTAGCTTTGAAATAGTACTATTTATAATATAATTAGTGAGAAATTATTTTTCAAATAATTATTTTTCTTAAGAGTTAAATGTGAAGACTGCAACATAGAAATTGCTTTGTGCTTTTCCGTAAAGAACACAATATGCCTCTTGGTAGTTCCAAATAAATTCAGAATTCCTCATTTATTCCATATAACTAGAATTTATATATTAAGCATGGTTCTGTATTCATTATCTTTTATCTTGCATCCATGAAATAACTGGATTTATTGGTAGGTAAATTAACTAACTTGCTCAAGATCAAGTTAGCTCGTAAGGCAGAAATCTAGATTAGAAGCAAGGTCTTTCTGACCACAAAGTCATAATCACAATAACAATATATCATTCTTTTCATATGATGGCAGTTTTTCATGAAGTTGCTAAATATCATACTAAAGACTTTTTTCAAGGTTGTGTTTCAACCTTGAAAATTTTGTCAGCTACTTTGGAAAACAGGTATACTTAACAGTGAGATTGTCATATTTTTATTTTTAAAGTTTTTTCATGTATTATTCATTGCCATTATATTTTGTTACAATACCATTCTTTATATAGTAGATTCTCCCTACCCGTGCAGTAAAAGAAAAGCTTGTAAAATTATGTTACACTATGAAGTATTGGATATTGAATATGTTGAATTACTCTTATTAGACCCAATTTTAGGACTTAGGTCATAAAAATAATTTTATAATTACTCTTTTTTTCTGGAAGCTTTAAAAATATTTTATTGGTAGAATTCTTTTTTTCTTAAATATTTAATTATTTTTGTTTT